ATTTTTTCTTTCTTTTGTAGATTTATTGGATAATATAAAATGTTGTGATAACAAGAGAGATAGAGTCAAATATAGGTAAAGATAAGGTGAAGCAAAAATACACCAATTTATCTATTTGTGTATTTTATTTAATTTTTATTTTGCCTTTGTACCTTACCAACAAACTTTATAAATTCTCAAAGGTGAAGGCATGAAGCGGCGCCTGACTTCACGTGGAGGAGGATGGCCGGGTGGAGCTACTGCCGTGGGTGGTAGTAATGGGGGAGACGAGCACACACGCCTTATCGCCCCCCATGCCCACTCAGGTTCTCAGGGTACACATCGCTACATGTCCACTTCAGACTCTGAGCACGACATTGTCATTGAACAGGTAAGGCTGTGGATTTTTCTTTGCTTTGGACTTTTTCCCCCCTTTTGCTGTGTCTTTCTTTCTTCTCTCTCTTCCTCTCTATACATGAATTAAGTTTTATATATTTGATATTCATTATCTAAGTATCCCAAGAAATGTAAAAAAAGAATAGATCATAACTTAAAACATGCTTTGCCCCTTTGATCTGGTTGCTTCATGACAATTACATGGACCCAAATACGGCATTAGACTTAAGTGAGTGGCTGCTGTGCCAGATGTACAGCTTGTAGGCCAGATGCATGTGAATGCTCATGTGCAGTGACAAGACTCTTAGCCTCCCTTTTGCATTGTTATTTTCTTTTTCTATGAATAAGCATTTTTAGTGATTTGGCTATTTTACAATATCCACAATTGTCATTTGATTTGCTTTATCCAGATGGTAAGAGACTGTTTTCCGTGCACTGACTGCATATCATCCCTTTAGGTAGTCCATAACTCAGTGCAAGAAAAAAATATATATGTATTTTTGTGTGTGTGTGTGTGTGTGTGTGTGTGTGTGTGTGTGTGTGTGTGATATTCAATTTTCTGAAATATAAACTAGGCCGTCAGTCACAGCAGCCTGAAATAGAATGATGAGCATGGAAATGGCGTCCTCCCTGCAGCCAGCACTCTTCCAGTCCTGGCTTACAGAGATTACATTCCTTAATCGTTTATGAGTAGGCATAATGCAAAAGCCCCTGTCTAAATGCCAAATAAGTCTAATCACTCTCCAAGAGATTTGTGCACTCATGGTGAGTCTTTTCCTTCACCTTCAGCCGTAAGCCAAAATGCTCATGACAGCAAGTTTGTGTCACTCAGCTTGCAGCCAGGTTTTCCCATGACAGCATGTTCATGTCACTCACCCCTCAGGCCAATTTTTTTCATGATCTGTTAGTCAATTATACAGATCGAAGGGGTTAAACTGCAGTCTCTCCTGTTAGAACAGTCTATCATAAAAAAAATCTGCTTTTTTCTTTCTTTTTTCTTTGTTTCTTTTCTCTCTCTCTCTTTCTATTTTCTTTTTTTTTACCCTCTGTCAATCCACAGGGCGAGGGCTCAGACCCAGAAGACATGAAAGCCATATGACACCCAACAGTCCCTCGTCCCGGCACTGTGGTATAAAGCGGGTGAGGGTGTCACTTCGTGTTGGAGAAGCACTATGCCGCACACTCCTACGCAGGTAGACAAGAACCAAGCTTGGTCTAGTGAGAGAATTTTGTGTGTGTCTCTGTGTAAGTCTGCTACACAGGCTTCAGATTTTGTATTCTATTTTGTTAGTATTTTTGCTATTATGGTTACAGTCTTTTAGAAGAGAGATGATTCTAGGGCTTCATCTGATGTGAAAGTGAATTTGACTTCTGCTTAGAAATGCATGGATTGGCAATGAGATTTATACAACCATTGCATTTCCCATCTCCCCTCCTCTCATTTTTAATTCCTTGTTTAGAAGTGGAAGTGTAGTTTAGTAGGTAAGATGTCTGTATGAAACTGAAGTGTTAAAATACCAAAGCTGTATATGTATATTAAAAGTGCCCATGATGTTAGCTTAAAAAGTATCTCTTATAAATCTTATCATATATTTACCAGTAACTTGTAGCTAGTCAGAAAAGTAATTTTGTAGCTCATAAGGAAAAATAACAAATCACATTTTACTCATAGAAATATGTTTTTTTATAAGGAAATGTATTTATTATATACATTAAACTATTTGCCTCCAGACTGAAGTTTTTGTTGTCGTATATTATCTTATGAAAGGGGAACTACAGAATATAGAGAGTAAGAGCCAGAATTTTTCAAAGATGATAATAATACCTTCAGTCTGAATTGTATTTCCTCCAAAAGTTATTTTAGTTTAAGGATTGAGATTCAAAAAATAAGTAAATGGGAACTAAAGTGAAATCAGCATACATAATGGGGTTTATTAGATACCTGTTTAATTAACCAAGGAATAATATATTTATTTTGACAAGAGAAAAGGATTTCCTGAATTAACATTCTAGAATCTGCTATATGTTCTTCATACTGATTCAGTATCATAACCAGCATTGAATATTATGCCACATGATGAAATAGGCATTAGGTAGTGCAGATGAAAAGCAAAATACAGGCCCATATATCAAAAAGATGACGTTCCTAGATTATCCAAATATGTTTGCTGTGATGATAGGCACATCACAAAATTTACAATGACAAAATGTACCACAGTTTATCCTTTTGTGTTCATGCTGATTTAACAGTCGATATGAGCTGGAATAATTTATCAGTTCTCATCAAATTCTTATTTTTAGTTACAGCAGATATATGAAATGAAATTCAAGGTTCTGCTTTACTTGCTGTGATCATTGATGGATCGTCAAAGTATTGTACTTAGTGTAGAATGAAAAATGTGATGCCAAAGGCATTGTTAAACTTGGACTGTGAGAATATTTTACTTAAGTAATTTCCAATATATATATATATATATATATATATATATATTATATATATATATATATATATATTATATATATATATATATATATGTATATCAGTAATATAAAGGCAACATTGAGGTTACAAATTAATGAGGGATAACAATTCTTAAGAAATAATGATTCTTAAGAGGTAATGAGTAAAGTTAAGAAGCATTATTATTTTCCCCTTCCTGTGTTTCTTTTTATTCTAATTTATTTACTTATGTATTTATAGGTTTTATTTATCATCCTTTGTCAAAAGATTTTTTGTGTAAATATTTCACAAATACAAAAATATGTGAGAGAATGTTTTTAAATATTTATATTTGTAATATCTGCCAATTTTTCCAAATTTGAATTAAAACACACACAATGGATTTTGTGTTAGACCATAAACATTGTTGCAACTATGGAAATTAATTCATGGTACCTGCAGAAAGGCTTTCAGCATGAAGGGTTCTTGCCAAATGATCATCTTGCATGTGTTTGCATGATGACCCTCCACTATTTTATGTTTTGTTGGACACTTTTATCAGCTGCTAATATATGAGAGACAATTACTTTAGTTTTATTGCATCATATACCAAACACCCCTATTGTCACATAAAGAAGTAGACTACAGTGTTAAAGTTTTGGAAAGGAGTTCTCCATTATTCTTGATTCGTGCATTCTGTTCATCATAATTCACAAACAACTTAACCTATTGACACCAGATGCATACATGCACAGTGTACTGTGGTTTTTGTTTTACTGATTTTGTTTACATTGACATGAATCTACAAGGCCATGTTCACTTTGAAGTCAGTTACTAAGTCTACCTTTCCTTACCCGTGTATGCCATTCCTTAAATTTAGAAAAAGAAGGAAGATTGTAGCTTTATTACTGTTACTACTGTGTAGCTTTATAACTATTATTACTATTAACATTATAATCATGATGATGATATTGATATTAATGATAATGTTTGTATTAGAAATGTAATATTTTCATGAGAACTCAAGAAATGGCACTGACAGGCAAGATCAGGTATGTCTGTAATTAACTCCAGAGTGCTTTTAAAGCTATATTCATGTAAACAAAATAAGATAGAACTACAATGGACTTACATGTACCTAGCACCATTAGGTTAACATAGTGGTACCAAGTACATATACTGTCCACTGTAGTTTTGTTTTGTGAATTTAGTTTGCACACAGATGGCTCTATAAGTGCTAAGCCATCAAAGAATTAATTTATTGGACCTGTTTGACTTCATCTGATTTCCCTTTTCCCTGAGTTATTGAGAAATTTTTTTTCTAACATTTATACCAATACTGTTATTATTATTATGGATGTTATGATAAAAACGTATATTAGCAATAAAAGATAAAAAGGAATCTTTAAACTTCAAGGAAAAGAGGAAACAACTAGGGAATCATCTATGTAAACAGATGCAATAAATTAAAATCACCTTGGACATGGCTTATATGCCATGCCACCCTAGCATCAGGGGATTAATTTAATGCATAAAGTATAGATATGCCAATACCAATACTGGTTCCAGTGCTCACTTTCAACTGACACTGTGCTGATATTCGGATGCTAATCATTGCATGATGATGCATGGATGTGTCAATACAACTATTTTTAATTTTATTGATAATTTATCTGTGATTATAAAAACAATGTAAAGCTACATTCATATGCACACTAGAAACAGGGAAGCATGATGCATATATATATATATATATATATATATATATATATATATATATATATAATATATATATATATATATATATATTATTATATATATATATATATATATATTTATATATTTATATATATATATATATATATATATATTATATATATATATATATATATATATTATATATATATATATATATATATATATATATATATATTATATATATATATATATATATATATATAATATATATATTATATATATATATATATATATTATATATATATTATATATATATATATATATATATATATATATATATATATATATATATATTATATATATAATTATTAGAACTCAAGAACTAGATGTACTTGTAGTCATTTACCCAGTATCCACCAGATTTAGTTCAGGAATCATTACATTGGTAATGCAGACATTCCAGTATATATATCAACTACCAGCAAGAAATTGTTTTGAGTCCTGTAGTAAAACAGAAAGGTAACAATTTTTTTTTTTATAGCTTGTCAATAGCTTTACCAAAACACAAAAACTACCATATACCCAATACTGTTGGCACATCACTTTTATGCAGTGCTCAAATTATCATAAAACTGAAATGGGATCATCACTTGTGAATGCTTCAAAAAGAGAAACTATAAGAAACAAAATACACGTTGAATCTATTTATATATTGCCTAAGTAGCTGACTTTATGTGCTTATGTTATGGAATTGATTTTATACAGCATTGGAAATGGAAATCTAGTAATACAACGCATGTAGTTTCAAGATTTTTCTTCTTGAATATTTTGCAGTTTACATTTTGGGTTCAGCAAGTAATTATCAAAAAGTATAAGAATATTTTGCTCTCACAGATAGTGACCAAAAAGGCATTTATCAGTGATACATTTTTATTCAGATTGAGTTTGTGAAGTATTATGCATCAAGACATAACCTGGAATTGAAGGTAGCAACCTATTCAGCATGGTAAAAGATGCTTGTTCATCATAATCGTTAAAGATGTGAATACTTGGTGCAATATTTTTTTATTGCAGATATAATTTTTTTTCCACTCCCTAACCTTCACCCTCTGGAAGGTGGTAAAGTTAAATTAGATTCAAATAAATGCAAACATATTTGAAAGTTAATATAAGAGTAATGTGTAGGTTATTAGAATCACCTTTGTCTTGAATTAAGAAAAAAAATGAATTTGATTGTGATAAAGAAAAAATGATAGATTTACTTTAAAGCATATTTACAAATCATACTTTCCCAAAATTAAAGTTCTCCTGTTTCATCTGCCTGATGAAGGCTCATGCATTTTTAATCAAAGATTAATCCAGTACTACTGAACAGTTTTATTGTTTATGGATACTTTGAGATGTGACTATTTCATACATCTATATTCTAGTGTACAATTATTGGGCATTATGACATTAATGATGTCAGCGAAAGATTGTCTGGTTCAGGCAAAAAAAATATATATATAAATATCATATGGGAGACTTTGAATCTGAATGGAGAAGATGAAGGGGTTTGTCACTTAAAATATAAGTTCACAGTTTTTGCCACTCCATCACCACCAAAGTGTGTTTTCAAAAAGATAACTTGATACCAACAATGGGTCTTCTATAATAAGCAGACAAATTGGGTTATACCTTTTCAGTGTATTTAAGGCTTTGTTCAACATTACTGGTAATATATAAATGAATAGTACACATTTAGTACAATTGTTACAGTAACTTGTTTGACATAAACATTATGTTTGAAATTTGAATATATTTTGTTAAAAGAAATATATGCATATATGTGAATTACTGTGGATTAGCAGAAGACTACTCCATAAAACTATTGTTAAAGAAAATATTTTCTTGACTAGTAATGCTTTGTTTTCCTTATTAGTATGACTCCATGTTGCTTATGTGATTCTATTGATGTTTCAGTTAAAATGCTCTTAATAAAATATATTGATGTTTTTTATGTTCTCTCTTTTCTTTTCCTCTTTCTTTCCTCCATCTGTTATAGTGGACTGCATTTTCATCCACAATGTGGCAAAGTAGATAATTATGATACTCTCTTAAATGGAAATAAGTTTTTTTTCCACCTCTATGATGACCTTATTCATTTTTTTTTTTCTTTCTTTTTTTTCTAACTTTTGCTTAACCCTGGTCTGCTTAGAATTTTGTATTAGTCTTTATTAGGAGCAGAAAATATTCCCAGTTGCTAACACTCATGCCTTCTGTTTTTTCTCTGGTTTTTCTGTGTGTCTCTCTTTCTCTTTCTCTTTCCCTTGCCCTCTCTCTCTCTCTCTCTCTCTCTCTCTCTCTCTCTCTCTCTCTCTCTCTCTCTCTCTCTCTCTCTCTCTCTCTCTCTCTCTCTCTCTCTCTCTCTCTCTCTCTCTCTCTCTCTCTCTCTCTCTCTCTCTCTCTCTCTCTCTCTCTCTCTCTCTCTCTCTCTCTCTCTCTCTCTCTCTCTCTCTCTCTCTCTCTCTCTCTCTCTCTCTCTCTCTCTCTCTCTCTCTCTCTCTCATCTAAATTGGTGTAGCATAATGTACTGTTGAACTAAAGTCTATAGAAAAGTGCCAAGTGTCAATATGAATCACAGGTGCCTGCTACATAATCACTTTTGATATATGATCACACTAAAACTAATGAATTAAGGCCACAAGGGGACTGTTATCTTCTAATACACAACAAATACTCTATTATCAAATAATTATACATATATTTAAACAAAATGATAATTTACTTTCATTTTGCTTGTACTTACCTGTTTGTAGCCATATTTATAGTAGCTATTTTTCAGGCAAATTGTTATTCCTACTACCCTTGATATTTAAACAAAGTGATTATTCCAACATATTTCCAGTTGTGGTAGTGATTATGACATTAACAACGACTATGATCACTGTTGCATTTCAACAGATTCATGAGGTTTAGGAACAAAGAAAAGAAATTGTTACATTTAG